ATGATGATGATGATACTGCAGTCAGCAGTTCAGACTGTTTAGTCTCTGGCCTGAGCATTTTAGAGTTGCTCATTTTATTTTTAAGCAGTCTTTTTCAGTTTTGAAGGTTTTCTGAAATTGCTTTACATCCAAGATCAAAACACTTTAATTTCCTCATAATATCCAGTGCAGGGTCAGCTCATTTCAGAGTGAAATGGTTGATTCAAGGATCTGCTTTCTCTAAACTCCGCCTTGCCAAGAACCTGCTCCACACATTGGTCAGATTGCCCTACAGGTGGCCTTACTCCAATCTGATTGGTCAGATGGCTTTACACTGCTCCAATTTTTTAGACCGTGACCGTACTTCCCTTTGAATGGCCAGGTGGCCTTACTCCACTCTTACTTCTCAGAGATTGGTCAGATTACCTTACTCTGCTCTGATTGGTCAGATAGCCCTATGCTACTATGATTTGTCATGTGACCTTATTCTACTCTGATTGGTCAGATGGCCCTACACTGCTCCCATTGGTCTGGTGACCTTATTCTACTCGGATTGGTCAGATGGCCCTACACTTCTCCAATTGGGCAGGTACTTTGCTCTGATTGGTCAAATAGCCATACACTGCGTCCGTTAGTCAGAATATCTAACACTGCTCCAATTGGTCAGTTGATCCTACTGCAGTCTGATTGGTCAGATAGCCATTCATTTGTTGATTCAAGGATCTGCTCTCTCTAAACTCCGCCATGCCAAGAACCTGCTCCACACATTGGTCAGATTGCCCTACAGGTGGCCTTACTCCAATCTGATTGGTCAGATGGCTTTACACTGCTCCAATTTTTTAGACCGTGACCGTATTTCCCTTTGAATGCCCAGGTGGCCTTACTCCACTCTGATTGGTCAGATAGCCCTACACTGCTCTGATTGGTCACTTGACCTTACTCCTCTGTGATTGGTCAGCTGGTGCTACATTGCTCCAACTGGTCAGTTGACCTTCGCTCTGATTGGTCAGATAGCCCTACACTGCACTGATTGGTCACTTGACCTTACACTCCTCTCACTGGTCAGATAGCCTTGCACTAATCCGATAGGTCAGGTGACTGCTCTGATTGGTCAGATAGCCCTACGCCACTCTGGTCATGTGACCTTATTCTACTCTGATTGGTCAGATAGCACTACACTGCTCCAATTGTTCAGATAGCCTTAACTAATCTGATTGATCTGGTGACCGTACTCTGCTCTGATTGGTCAGATATCCCTACACTTCTCCAATTGGTCAGGTATTTCGCTCTGATTGGTCAAATAGCCATACACTGCTTTAATTAGTCAGACAATCCTGCACTGCTCCAATTGGACAGTTGATCTTACTGCACTCTGATTGGTCAGATAGCCACACACTGCTTACATTTGTCAGATTATTTTGCTCTGCTCTGATTGGTCAGATAGCCATTCGTTTCTCCCATTGGTCAGGTGACTTTACTGCACTGTGATTGGTCAGATAGCCTCATTACTTTGATTGGTCAGTTGATATTACTCTGCTTTAATTGGTCAAATAACATTACACTGCTTTAATTGGGCAGGTGACTTGTTTGATTGGTCCAGTCTGATTGGTCAGGTAGCCCAACACTACTCCAATTGGTCAGGTGACCTTACTTTGCACTGATTGGTCAGAAAGCACTACACTGCTCCCATTGGTCAGGTGACTTTACTCGGCTCTGATTGGTCAGATAGCCCTACACTGCTCCAGTTGGTCAGTTGACCTTACTTTACTCTGATTGGTCAGATATCCCTGCCCTGCCCCGATTGGTCACTTGACCGCACTCTGCTCTAATTGGTCAGATAGCCATACATGGCTTACATTGGTCAGGTGACCGTACTCCGCTCTGATTGGTCAGATAGACCTACACTGCTCAGTTGGTCAATTGATGTTGCTCCTCTTTGACTGGTCAGATAGCCCTACATTTCTCCCATTGGTCAGGTGACCTTTCTCCACTGTGACTGGCCTGATGGTTTATTCTGTTGTGATTGGTTGACACAAAACCAAACACTTTACACCATATTTGAAGTTCATCTCCAGAGTCTTCAGCATCTGTGAATACAGTGTCATGAATCGTGAGGAAGGTGTTCGGTTTACACTATCAGTTCAAAAGAAATCCTCGTCCTTCAGAAGTGCAGAGTGGATTTGCTTTGGCAACAGGAAATTGCATCTGCTTTATGTCAACCCAAATCTTCTGGGCTTCGGCTACAACAAGAGTGTTTAAGGGACCATACCGCCACACACAACCCACAACGTCACGTAATACAAATCGATGTAGATCTGTGCAGGAAGAAGGAATTAAGGCAGCTCAGAACTCCTGCTTTCTTTAAGGAAACAATACCTCTGTTTGTCTTATCTTGAAGATCATTTACATTCACAAACAGCTACATCATACACTACATGAAAGATGACAATCAGAAAATGCTTATTATGATTTCATCCTGAAGAGTCTCTCATTACATTATTATCTTCCCTCAGGGTCTCCGATTTGGGTTATCTTAATTAAGAGTGTAAAATAGTGAGATGCTCAATCATAGAAAACCAAGGCAGTTGCTTATAAACTGCTGGTGCTACAGAGGTTACAAATGACATTTAATCCATTGAGCTGTGGTTAGTGTAGTATTAAAGGGGGGAATAGAATATTTGTGATGGAAGATGATTGGGTCTCAAGATTTACAGGAAAAAACTGAATAACCTGATCTAACACTAATATACTGGTTAGTACATATACACATCTCTATATGTTGCTAAATTTAACCATAACAATATAGGGATAAATAATCTGTTTCACTTAACAGATGAACAAAAAAAAAAAAAGAAGAAAAGATTTAGACTTTCTAATTGAGGTCCAAATAATTAAATTGACTTGATTTGTAATATCTGGATTATTTGCTGTTGAAAGCAAATCACTATACACTACCTGACAAAAGTCTTGTTGCTTATCCAAGTTTTGGGAACAACAAATAATAAGTTGACTTCTAGTTGATAGTTTGGAATCAGAAGTGGCTCATATGAAAGGCGAAGGCCTCTAGATTACACTTATTTACACAGATTATATCATCTTACCCCAGACATGCTCAATAATGTTCATTTCTGGTGACTGGGCTGGCCGATCCTGGAGCACCTTAACCTTCTTTGCTTTCAGGAGCTTTGATGAGGAGGCTGAAGTATGAGCAGGAGCGCTATCCTGCTGGAGAATTGTCCCTCTCCTGTGGTTTGTAATGTAATGGGCGGCACAAATGTCTTGATAGCTCAGGCTGTTGATGTTGATCATCCACTCTGCAGATCTCTCGCACCCCCCCATACTGAATGTAACCCCAAACCATGATTTGTCCTTCACCAAACTTGACTGATTTCTATGAAAATCGTGGCTCCATGCGGGTTCCAGTGGCTTACACTCTCACTACAAGCTAAAGCCAAAAGTTGGCAGCCCTGATAGAGCTCTCTAATCCAATGTTTACTATAACAAGTATATTAAAGAGCCCTATAATTGAATGTCGACAGCTATAGTATTCTTAGCCTAATAGTAAAAATGAAATGGGTAACGCTGGGTGCAATTTAGGCTAATTTGGCTTGCCATACACCTGTTTCGTTTAATTAACATTTTAAAGAAATACTTTTCAAGTAACAGGTGAGAAACAATGACCACTGAATAAGAACATTTTGCGATGGATTTCGAAATTTACCAAGTTAAAACATAATAAAAACATACAACCGAAAATGAAAATATGAATATTGTCGTGTGTTGTGGGGTAACCGGTTAGTTTGGGTCGGTTAGCATCTGCCTGTTTGGCGCGTGCGCTCTCAAGCTCAGCCATGTTGAGTCTCCCAGACAGACAGAAATGTCTATATATCGCGCTGAAATGAGGATTTTACCCTCCAGGACGAGCTGAAGACAAACAAATCAGCATCAGTGAGCAGGTAAATTAATGTGTTGATGTTTGTGTGATACTTTAGTGAGGAAGACTAGAGCTGGGTGAAGAAGCCGGTAGTGGATCATGAATTGAGCTGGAAAAAACCCCTCATCACACGTTCAATACACTGTTTAATACACTTTGCCTCAGAAAAGTTTTTGTGAAGGCTGTAAAACAGAAATTGACCGCTGACACAAGTTATTCAATGCCAAACATCTTATAAACAGTGGTGTATCATCTCTCATTTAGAAATTGTCTGATAAATGGCAAGCCGTTTTCACATTTACGTACCTAAAGTCCGCCTGAAATCTCATGTTATTATTCTTAAAGTGAACAATTAATCTGTGCAAGTTAATCCACTGAAATGTGTTTGTTTTGGTAATCTTCTATTTGATTCTGCTTATTTGCTTAAAGTCCCCAAGAAATCAAAACTAGCCATTTTAATTTTGTTAGCTCGCATTGATTTTGAGGCAACCCACATAGCAAAATTTCTCTGGCCCAGCTCTGGCCCACACAATCAGGTTTTGCTTGGCCCACATGCGGCAGTGAATTACGGTACATGACTGGACCAAATCTGGCTTCCAGACAAGGGCCAAACACAGACCATATCTGGGCCAAGTCTCAGCCAAGTTAATAACTCATAACTGGGCCTGAACTGGGCCAGTAAGGTTGGTGTGTCACGATTGCAATGAAATTAATAAACCTATGAAGCGTTGTGCTTTAGGCACACTATGGGCCTTGTTTTTTCTCAGTGACCTGATTGGTAGAATTGATTTATTTAATCAAAAATTATTTTTATGTATTTTAAATGTGGGTCAAGACTGGCCAAACTCGCGTGGCCCACAATCAATTTTTAAAATCTGGGCCAAATACTACGTTTTACATCTGGCCCAAATCTTGTGTGCCGCATTATAGACAGTGCCACCTCTGCCAAACCCAGGCCATGTTTGGCCCACATGCTGTATGCCAGTGCCGGATGAATGCCTGCTGTCCCAGCTTTATGCCAAATCTGAGTCAGAATTCTTTGCTACTAGGCAATGGGCTTGGTATGGCTAACATACTTTACCACGCCATTCTCTTCACAAATGTCAGATTTTCATTTGTCTTAATCTGTTGTTCTCACAGTCGTCCCTCCAGACGTGCTTCTGTCTTCTGCAGACTCTTTCATCACGTTTTTTGTGTGTGATGTCTGGACCGGTGAAGAGTCGAGCGAGAGTTTACACTGAGGTGAACACACACCGGCCAAAAGAATACTGGGACTACCAGTCTCACAAACCACAGTGGGGGTACGTATTACTGAATATACAGTTGAAGTCAGGATTATTAGCCATCCTGTATATATTTTTTTTCATCATGTCTTCATCAGTGTCAAATTATCTTTATAATTATTACACACACACACACTCACCGGCCACATTATTAGGTACACCTTACTAGTACCGGATTGGACCTTTTTTTGCCTTCAGAACTACCTTAATGCTTAATGGCAGAGATTCAACAAGGTACTGGAAAATTCCTCAGAGATTTTGCTCCATATTGACATGATAGCATCACGCAGTTGCTGCAGATTTGTCGGCTGCACATCCATGATGTGAATCTCCAGTTCCACCACACCCACAAGGTGCTCTTTTGGATTGAGCTCTGGTTACTGTGGAGGCCATTTGAGTACAGTGAACTTGTCATGTTCAAGAAACCAGTCTGAGATGATTCACGCTTTATGACATGGTGTTATCCTGCTGGAAGTAGCCATCAGAAGATGGAGACACTGTGCTCATAAAGGGATGGACATGGTCAGCAGCAATACTCAGGTAGGATGTGGTGTTGACACAATGTTCAGTTGGTGCTAATGGGCCCAAAGTGTGCCAAGAAAATCTCCCCCACACCATTACACCACCACCACCAGCCTGAACTGTTGATACAAGGCAGGATGGATCCATGCTTTCATGTTGTTGAGGCCAAATTCTGACCCGACCATCCGAATGTGGCAGCAGAAATGGAGACTCATCAGAGCAGGCAACGCTTCTGTAAAATTGATGCTGAAAAATCAACATTTAATTGCTGAAGCAAATGACTTTTCATAAAATAATAATATATTCAAATAATGAAAAAATATTATATTTCACAATATTGACTGTGTTATGATCAAATGAATATTTGTAAGTAGAAAAAAGAAAGAAATATATATACACACATTTATTTGACAGTCAGCCTCATAAAGTTGACGGCAACATTTAGTGTTGCAGTTTTTAATGTCAATATTAATAGCCCCATTAAATAATTATTTTTATCATTAATTTAGTTTTTTAAATTACCACAGTTAAGCCTTTAAACGTCACTTTAAGCTGAATACTAGTATCTTGAAGAATTTCTAGTCAAATATTATAAAATGTAGTCATGACAAAAACAGAAATTAGTTAATAAAATGATTATGTGTGGAAAAAAATCTCTTCATTAAACACCACTTGGGGAAAAAATTTAAAAATAAATACAATTTCACAGGAGGACTAATAATTTCGTCTTCAACTGTACATAAGCAATATGATGTACATTCTTTTTTTTCTTCATTTTTTTGTTGTACATTCACACATTGTTGTGATGTCTTTCAAGCGGCGCACACTATGAGTTCGCATGATCTAATGCTGCATATGTAGATAAACGAGTTTTTCTTGCATCAGGAATGAGGAAAAGAGGCTTTTTTAAGCATGCACATTTAGTTTTTTCCGCTTCACTTCATTGATTAAAGGTCTCTACAGTTGAGTACAGGTCATTTTCAGTTTTATTACAGCTGTTGTTTCCTTCAACATTCTGGGCCCTATCATAAACCCTGGCTCACTAAGGCGCAAAGCGTGTACGGCACAATTTGTTGCTGTTTTCATACGAGCCCATGTGTCGTTTTCATGCGCCACGTTGTTTAAATAGCAAATCTATTTGTGCCACTTTGTGGTCTCGTGGGTGTGCTGGTCTATAAAGGAGGTGTGTTAAAGGGCCATGAAACCCCCCATTTCAGCAGGATGTTTTCACACCTCTAGTTTGGAAACAGTCAGGAAAGTGGGCGTGTCGGGGGTAGGAAAATGGGCAGGGTTTGAATAAAAATGGGAGTTGCCATTTGGATATGCTGAGAACAGGTGAAATACAAACACACACACACACACACAGGGGAGAAAGGCAGTGTGTTTAATGACAGTGAAATGTTTGATACCGCACATCGAATTGGAAAAATAAGCCTCTGCATTTCTCTGTAAAATACGACGAAAATTCAACACGACAGTCGGCAAAAGTTTGCTTACAGTGTTCACGTGTTTACACACAGAGAGCAGCATTTACAGCGGATCTTTCAATATTGTAGTGATATCACTGTACTGTAAACTAAGTAACTTAGAAATCATTTTGACTAAGGTCTGTTTTAAACACTGAAAGAGTACAGCTGACCATACCAACTATAACTTTGCCATCTGAACGAACAAAGAAAGGGCGCTGATCGCACACACTTACCGAATCTGTAGACCGGACAATCAGCACATACTGGAGCTGCGTCTTTTTTTAAAGGAGACGAGCAGCAAATCCAGATCTCACCATTGATGAGAAATTCTCTTGAGTAAAAAATGTTCCAAACAAACGCATTTCTGCCGCGAGTCTAGCAGCGCGCTCATAGAGAGAAAATGAAACAAAACCTTCACATTATGAAAGCAACACTGGCGACCTGTATCTCCAAACAATTCTTATTCTTTTCCCTCAACTTTTGGCAACATGACATGTGTCGTCTCTCTGCCGTCTGAACACTGTTTCAGGTACAGTCTAACCGTACGTTCACACCGAAAGCGGCGAGAGCGTCTAAGGTCGCTCTGGCCACCCTGGCGACAACGCTGTCTGCCTTCAGCTCCGGCGGCGAGAGCGTCAAAACTCGCTACATTGATCTCGTACTTAAAGGAGCCGTTGCAGCATATCAGTTACATTCCTGCATAAGACATGTTTTTAGCGTGAAAATGTTGCGCACTTCTTATCAAATACATAAAACAATGGAAGATCAAGTTGCATGTGGTGTGGCTTTGCTTTATTTATCCAATATGTGTCCATATGTCTGAAATATCCTGAAGCAGCTATACTGTTTTGTACTGTCACATCGCGTGAGATTCCCGCTTTTTTTAAGATAAATTTAAATAACATTAATGAACATCAGTAACTCGCCAGTAACTTATTTAATGTATGTTCCTGTAAGAAAACATTGTTAATAATTGGAAATCCGGCGACCGCAATAATCAAACCCTTGGGAACAACTGTGGTCGGAACCAAAGTTCACTGGTCTGTGTTCCTTGAACTGCTATCAAGCGGTGGACGTCTTCATTCTGATTGGTTGCCGCCGAACCGCGTCATAGCTCATTACCATAAAGTTGACTTCATTTCAACTCTCCTCGACGCTCACGCCGACGAAGACGCGCCGCGCTGCTCCTCGCCGCTTATCGTCGCCTATCGCCGCCGGCTCTCATTGAAAATTAATGACTTCCGGCTACTTTGACGCTCTCGCCGCTTTCAATGTGAACGTACGGTAAGAAAGCTAGCATGCATTTCAATGAAGTTGCAGCGCATACATAATGGAGCGCGCTGATTGGTTTAAACCAAGCCATACTCATGAATGAATGCAGCACACTCAGAGACGTAATACGGGACGCCCCACGTCCAGTCTGCACGCTGGAATACACGCTAAGATCTCATGGCCGTGACACAGCTTCAAAGATTCGTTTCAAACCGGAAGTACGAATTTGCTCCAAATAACGCAAAAACAACCAATTTTCACTTTCTAGTGCAATATATGTGTCCTAATAGTGTTTTTAGCAGTGTGGGACACATATACGACTGTCAACAGCTCAACACATGTGTTTTGGTGTTTCGTGACCCTTTAAGCCTCATCGTTGGCACATTGCTATTTTGAGGAACTGAAATCAGGGTTAGGCCGATAGACGATGCCATCATCCATCGCCGATGGCCAATAAACAACACGATGTTAAGCCAGCATTGCCGATCCTCCGCCCCCATCGCAAACCCGCTCGCAAAAAACACACACTTAGGCCCCGTTTACTCTAATACTTCTTAGTATTAAAATGTTACACCGTGTTTTACCTAGCATTTCTGAACAGCCCGCCGTCCGCTGAAACCGCACATCATGTGACCACACACACAGCCACACACACTGTCATGCGCTTATCTGAGCTCGAGAGAGAAGTGCACGTTGGACAGTTTATCAAGGATGTACCGCTGGATCGCGTCTCATAGTTGTTAAACGTGATATTTAATTAATCTTGTCTCTACCTAGCGTTAACGACTCTTTGGTCGTCAGGTAGCTTTCGCTTTTCGCTTTCACACTTGTACTTAGTCATTTTAGTGAAAACCTCAGATACTGTTGGTTTTGCACCTTTTTTACCAACAAACCTCTTGCGGAAAAGGTGATTTACAGGTGGTCATTTGTGTGTAACTTATATTTATTTATTTATGATTTGTTTATGGGTAAAACAAAGACCATGCGAGTCAGGTAGTTGAAACGGTAGACTACAAATAATTAATTTAAATTCTGAATTAATTAAGGGTGAAGCAGTGGCGTAGTTGGTAGTGCTGTCGCCTCACAGCAAAAAGGTCGCTGGGTCGAGCCTCGGCTCAGTTGGCATTCCTGTGTGGAGTTTGCATGTTCTCCCTGCCTTCGCGTGGGTTTCCTCCGGGTGCTCCGGTTTCCCCCACAGCCCAAAGACATGCGGTACAGGTGAATTGGGTAGGCTAAATTGTCCGTAGTGTATGAGTGTGTGTGTGGATGTTTCCCAGAGATGGGTTGCAGCTGGAAGGGCATCCGCTGCGTAAAAAAACGTGCTGAATAAGTAACATGCTGAATAAGTTGGTGGTTCATTCCGCTGTGGCGACCCCAGATTAATAAAGTGACTAAGCCGACAAGAAAATGAATGAATGAATTAATTAAATATTCATAAATTATTAATTCACCTCCGCCTATGATGACGATGCCATCGTCCATCGCAATGTTTCACATTAGACATTGTACGATGCCAAATTGGTCGACATCGCCCAACCCTATCTGAAATAGACCACATCATTGACCAACTAAAAGCTGCTTTAAAGTCCGGTGCAGAACGCGTTAGTTATGCACCTATGCAGATCCAAATGCTTACAAATTGCTTAATATGCACAGGATGAACAGCAACACACAAATATCTGTACATATGGAAACAATTAAAGAATTTTAAAAAATTATTATTTTCTATATCAATCAAAACAGCACTGCCTCCATGCCTTCTTCAACTCGGGGGGCTTTTTCAGTTTATTCATGACAATCTGCATCAGTGTAATGTTATTATTATTAGCAGTATTATTGATTATATGCAGATTTATATTTGCTTTGGTGTAGATTTGTCCAGCTGTGGGTTTTTAGGGATGTCTGCATCACCATATGTGGCATAAGAACAGGACGTGTGTTTATATATACACAAAGTGTTGTTTTCTGAGCACACTTTATTGTTATTGTTCATTTATTCCTTTGCTGGTGATTAGAACTGAATTTAGAAGTAGTTTTGAAACAAATCTTTGCGCTTAACAAAGATAATTAAATATGTGGGCTAATGGATGTGTTCAGTGGAGTGAGTTTCCACCGTTTCCTCAAATAAGTAATAACTACTAAATAATAAATAAATAATAAAGCACACCCAGAACTTGTTAACAGAATAAGCACAACCCTGTTAGACCATGCGCCGGGCGCAGAGCGAATTCATCCATCCTTAAAATAGATTCAGACACGCTCTTAATGCTTTTACGCCATGTGCTTTAGACTTAGGTCATTAATATAGAGCACTTTGTGTTTGTTTAAATATGTAAACTGATCACATGCTTTTTAAGTATATTAAAGGTATTAAAATGACTGTAATGCCCATGTTTATTTTTTTTCTCAGCAATCATGAGGATTTTCAGATGGTGACCAAGCTAGGAATAGGAAAGTACAGTGACGTGTTTGAAGCCATCAACATCACCAACAATGAGAAAGTAGTGGTGAAAACACTGAAGGTAAATACAGTTCCTCTTGTATTTTTGAATACTTTTTGTGTTGCTCCAACTCAATATATCAATAACTGTTTAGAATTTCTTCGAATCTTGGTGTAATATCTAGCTTTTGAGGATTGTTTGGTCTACTTTACTTCGTCAGGCAGGTCCTATTTAATCAGGCAGGGCATGGCTAGAGAAATTACCAGGTAAAATGAACCACATCTGAGTTATGTTTTAACAGGGGTGGGAAAAAACATATGTAGCTATGTTGTTTTGTATTTTATTTTGCCTTAATAATAAAATATGTTAATTTCAGAACAGCATGGTGTCTTATCTTAAACTATTTTTTACATTTGTTTGATGATCTGAAACATTAAAGTGTGACAAACATGCAAAAAAAGAAGAAATCAATTAGGGGGCAAATACTTTTTCACATTATTGTAATTGTTGATTGGAGTATAATTATGAATGGTCTATTTTCAGCCTGTGAAGAGGAAGAAAATCCTGCGTGAAGTAAAGATCCTGGAGAATCTCCGCGGAGGACCAAATATCATCTCCTTAATTGACATGGTCAAAGATCCTGTGGTCAGTATTCAATATTAGTACAATACTTATGTCATAGAAATAATTATACAACAGTCCTGTCTGGTTCTTGAATCTGATTTGCTGATAGCTGTGCAATATTTTGCAATATCAGCACTCGTACAGCCTCCTCCCCCTTCTGTATTACTCCGCCCACATAGTGACAGCAGATCAATAAACTCACTACAGTTACAATACAAATATTGCAGCTGTTGGACAACAATGTACTTTATAGGCTGTTTTAGGCGAGAATGTAGTTGTTTAGATTGCAGTTTATTTAGAAGAACAGTGCCTACTTTAGATATAATTTTGGAGAAACATCGCATCTGCGGTCATTAGCCTGTCATATTGAGCAGAGCAAAGACGGTTAACGTTCAGCCACAAGATGGCGACAGAGATCGCATAATAAGTGCTCAGGGGAATACTAGAAATCTGTGTAGACTGATGGCATTTCATGCTGTTCAGCCTTATAATCTTAAAATGTCAGCAAAATCACCTGTTTTGTCTTCACTTTAGACATTACGCTAGAGAATCATTCAAACACTAGTGTTGGTGAATTAGTAACTGTTTCTGCTGTTCTGACGTCAGATGCAGATGTGAATGAATGGTGGAAGAAAGTAGTTCCTCATAGGATTTTTAGACTCTTCATGTTTGATTTTATTTTTTATATACATGATTATGTAACCTGTATAACCAGATATAGAGATATGCCTTTTGCTGCTTGTTCTAACTACTTATTTGTAAATGAGTTAAAAACAACAATTTTAAAGTTTTTTTTAGGGACAACTTAACTGGTTCAAGTTCAATTTAAACTTGTAAAAACTAATTAACTTAATGGATTTGTGTTGGGACAGCATGAAGGATTTGTGTGCATTATTTATAAACATGTTTTTCACACATTGCAGATCAGAACACCCGCCTTAGTTTTTGAACACGTCAACAACACAGACTTTAAGGTAAAATACTTAAATTCAGTTTTCTAATCATTTATTGTCTTTCATCTTTAGCACAACGATAATTAAATGACTTTTTGTTTTCCTCAGCAACTTTATCAATCACTGACAGACTATGACATTCGCTTCTACATGTTCGAGATTTTAAAGGTGAGCCTTACATGAAAATTTAAGAACGACTGCAGGAAAAAATTCAATGTTATTCACTTTGGACTAGATTTTAAACAAAATACTATTTATTTAATTCTGTTTTGCATGAGTGTAAGAAATACAGCTACTCATTTTCTAACAGTTTATTAAGAAAAGTAGTCAAATAGTGAATGAAAACATTTGTGTTTCAATCATATACTGTAATGTTCAGGGGCCTCAAGTATCAACACTGCGTACGCACAAAAACTTTGTGTTCGCCAGATATCATGCTCATGTTTGGATTTACTAACGATGAAATGAACGTGAGAATATGCGTTGGTCCACATCAACTTCATGCCTGGTGTACGTGTGTTTCTTGTGTGTTTGTGTTTTATTTCCATTGGCGACTTCTAGAAGCAGTTATGTTAAAGTGCACACTACAAAGTGTCTTTGAGCCATGCAATGGCAGCTGTATGAGACGGGATCATCCGAATGTCTAGCAGGTATATAAGGTTTCCATACCATGCAGTTGACCAGCCAAACAATAAAGCGCAATTTGCAGCGATCGCCGGTTTTCCCAGTGTAGTCGGAGCGATCGACTGCACGCACATTGCAATAAAGGCGCCATCTGAAGATGAATTTGCATACGTGAATAGGAAACATTCTACCAAGGAGGCTAAAGACCATGGCCTCTAGCGTCTGTCGCTAGAGCACCTTTAGAGGTCAGAGGAGTTGAGGTTTACCTGCACAGCACTTACTAGCTGGCCTCCGTTACACAAATAATATGTGATGCTCAAATGCGCTTACATAATACACACACTTGTTAATGACTCCTACTTGTCTACCTCGTGATGAAGAGTAGGCAAAATCTGATATGTAGCCGGAGATGTGGGTAAAAGAAGAATGAGTTCATCAGATGCTGGATTCGAACCGGGTTCATGCTCTAACGTGTCAAAACATGTTGCCATGCACTTTACGAGCTACGCCACTCATGTTGCTGATGTCCGCTCTGTTTAGTTTTGTTGTCTCTGTCGATCAAACGGGCGGAAATCACTCAACTCACTCATTCCAACGAGACCCCACTGCGTTAACCGTGTTAGCTAAATTCTCCCACTCAATTGTTTTTCTTTTGTTATTAATTCCAGAGGACAAACTTGCAAAAAAACACAATTTTTCTCTGGTCTACCTCCGATAGCAGCACCTCAAATTCACATTCTGTTCAAAGTTTCTCTTCTTGCTTGCTTTTGCTATTGCTTTTTTGCTTGGTTTTGCCAAAGTAGAGTCATTAGTATATTTATACGGGGGAGGAGGCAGGGAGGGGTTTTGAGCTTGTGCACGTGCGCTCAGTTTCACGTTCATTCGGATGTACAAAGAGAATAAGCGTGTGATTTGGCGTACGCAGTGTTTCAAACATCTGTTTTTACTGCGTATGCACATTTACAGCTTTGTCCATACGCAAAGTTTTAGTATGAATTCAACGCAAGTCTTCGTACATGAGGCCTCAGGTTTCTACATACATTCGTACTGTAATTATTGTGAATTGCTCTTAAGATATCCCTGTAAAAATTCAGATTCATCGCTTTTGATGCTTCAGTTGTTTTTATCTTGTGTCTGCAGGCTTTAGATTTCTCTCACAGTATGGGTATAATGCACAGAGATGTCAAACCACACAACATCATGATCGATCATGAGCACAGAAAGGTAAAACAAGTCGAGGAGCCTTACAGTTTTACTGAGCCATGTCGGTGTGAGGGTTTAGTGTAATTTATGGTGTGTTGAATGTTTCAGTTGCGTCTCATTGACTGGGGACTTGCCGAATTCTATCATCCAGGACAGGAGTACAACGTCAGAGTCGCCTCACGCTATTTTAAAGGACCAGAACTACTGATAGATTACCAGGTTAGACATATTAACACTCATGCATGGATGAGGAAATGTGCACTGATAGCTTCTTTATATGCTATAGTCAAATTTGGCCCAATAATATTTGTTACAGTTGGTAATTGCTCATTTAAAATCATTAAAAACATCATCTCTTTTGGAAAGACTCTGAGTGAAAAATCTTAATCCCAAAAACAAATGTGGGCGGGGCTTGGTTTTGTCAGGCATTGATTGGATGGATGTGTGTTGCTATTGGTGGATCTCGTGTGATTGACAGGTTGATCACACCTCCTTCTGCCAGTAAAGACTTTCTTTCTTAAGTTTGTTATTAAACAGCTCTCTTTAGAGTGAAAAGGGCAGCAAAGCCTTTTGTTTTTTTTTCTGCAAAGCTTTTAGAAACCCTTTAAGCACATTTTCACTGTGTTGTTGCAGATGTACGACTATAGTCTGGACATGTGGAGTCTCGGCTGTATGTTGGCCAGTATGATCTTCAGGAAGGAGCCATTCTTCCATGGGCGTGATAACTATGACCAGGTGAACTTCATCGGCTTTATTATTAGTGAAATAATTTGTGGTCAACTCCGATTAAGCTCCATCAAAATTCACCAGTACGAAGAGATAAACAGCATGCATTAAAGGGACGGTTCACCCAAAAATGAACATTCTGTCATTGAGTTACCCTTCACATGTTCAAAACTGGTTTCTTTCTTCTGTTAAAAGCAAAATAAGATATCAGGAAGAAAGCTGTCAACCTGTAACCATTGACTTCCATTGTATTTGTTTTTCCTTCTATGGAAGTCAATGGTTTCATTCACTGTATATAGAATGTTAAGTTTTGGGGCTAAATGTCTCTTCAGTGAATTTAATGATGGTTAAAAGCCTCTCTTTCAAAAATAATAACAGTTATAATCTCATTCACCATCATGACATGCAATTCCTAACAGTTTCATGACAGTACTATGTACACCCCCGAAATAAAGTGTTTAACTAATGCTTTAAATGATCTTTAAATGCATAGTGAACTCTGGCTTTACTAATCGTTTTTTAATGACCGTTTCTTCGCAGTTGGTGAGAATAGCCAAAGTTCTTGGAACAGATGGTCTTTATGATTACATTGATAAATACAACATTGAGCTGGACCCTCGGTTTATTGAGATTCTGGGACGGTGAGCTCCTTCATTCTGTTTTAATAACCTGCCATTGTCTTCCCTCATCTGATTTCATCTGTTTTTCCTCATGTTAGACACTCTCGGAAGCGATGGAAGAAGTTTGTTCACAATGAAAACCAGCACTTGATCAGTCCTGAAGCTCTGGACTTTCTGGACAAACTTCTGCGTTACGACCATCAGACCAGACTGACGGCGCAGGAGGCCATGGAGCATCAGTACTTCTGTAAAGCATTATACCATTATGACCTGCTGCATCCCAATTAGCATACTATCTGTCCTAAATAGTATTCAAAAATAGAGTTAGCGTGTCCCAAATCGTAGTACAGTGGGGTAAATAAGTATTTAACAGTTGTTCTAACGCAGGAGTATAAAGTGGCAAAGGGAATGAGAATATATGTGTATGAAGAGAATCTTGACAATTATTTTTTGATTGATTCTTTCATTTTGCTCTTTGGTTTAGTCCCCGTTGTGAAGGGCCAGTCTTGTTTCGCAGGATCCACGAATGTGCCGTCGGTGAACACCATGGTCAGCTCTGCCACAATGATCACAGGTCAGCTTTTCAAACTCTGCACATAACTTAAAATATCATTATCATGCAATTGAAGGATATGAACTTCTAATTGTGGAGTGCAAACATAAACAAGACATAAATTGGGTAATGTGAACTCTGAATTTGGAAATGGGATTCAGGAATGGAAACTCGGAAATGGAAACTCAGGATTGGGGAATGGAAACTAGAGATTGGGGAATGGAATTGAGAAATGGAAACTCTGAATTGGGGAATGGAAACTAGGGATTGGGGAATGAAAATAAGGGATTGGAGAATAGAAATGTAAAATTTGGTAATGGAAACTCAAGATTGGGGAATGGAAACTGGGTTGGGGGACTGAAACTCGGGATTGGGGAATGAAAATACTAGATTGGGTAATGGGAACTTGGGATTGGCAAATGAAAACTCGGAATTGGAGAATGGAATTTCAGGATTGGGGAATGGAAACTCGGAAATAGGGAATGGAAACAAGGATTGGAGAATGGAAACTCTGAATTTAGAATTTTGTGGTGTACACTTGGAATTGTGAACTCAAAGGTTTAAATAAAGGATTCTCAGTTGGATAAACTTGGAATTAGATTTGTGCAATGTGAACTCATAATTTTGAGATGTCAACTCCAAATTCCAACATGTGATCTCGAAGTGAAGATTGCAGGATGTTAACTTGGCATTGCAGGAGTTTTACTTGCACTTTTTAAACATTTTGTTTGAAATGTTAAGAGATACACAAATTACATGATAAAAATCAAATAAAAAAGGAAAAAGACACACAAAAAACATACGGGACATACTTTACATAAGCACTCACATTCTACTGAGAACTGTTAGTGTTACTTGAAGGTTTGTTTTTTCCTCTTGATTCATCAGGAATCACTGCACTTCCAGCCTCAACGGCTCTATTGCCACTGACGGGCTCCCCGATCTTCAACAGCCTCAATACTCCAGTGCCTGCAGCCACAGGAGCCACTCAATGACCGCAAATCAACCCGCCGAGGACTTCGAGACTGTTAGATAGAGCTCGTCACTGTGTTTACCCATAATGCAGCATGAGTTCATCAGAAAACTGAATGCACTTCATCATGAGATACATTACTGTCATGCATTTAGCTCAGACAAAGGTGCACAGGACATGACTGATATGCAGAAACAGCGAAATGCTGTGTAACTTTTTTTCACAAGCATTGTCATGCCATTAAAATATATATATATATATATATATATATATATATATATATATACATACATATATACATATACATATATATACATACATATATACATATATTTATATACATAAGAGCATATATATATATATATATATATATATATATATATATATATATATATATATATATCACACTGAGTAAATGTAAAGGACTTAAAATGTAGATTTTGAAATTGCAAAATGTTCATATGAAATGGCAAGGTGTGAACTCAGAATTGTACAGAACATTTTTTTGGAATTGGGTGATTTTTGCTTGGAATTGTGGGAGGTGTGAACTGGGAATTATAAGACGTTTGGAATAGTGAGGTGTAAACTCAGAATTGTAAAACAAATTAACTTGCGATTGGGATATTTAAGTTTGTAATAGCAAGGTTTAAACTCTGAATTGTAAAACATAAACTTGGAATTGTGAGGTGTAAACTTGGTATTACAAGACATTAACTTGGGGAATTGTGGGATATTAACTTGGAATAGTGAGGTGTAAACTCGGAATTGCAAGATTTAGCTTTGCAATTGCATGAAGTTAACTTGGAATAGTGGGATAGTTATTTGGAATTTTGGAATGTTAACTGGAACAGAGAGGCGTAAGCTCAACATTATAAGACGTTTGGAATTGCAAAATGTTCACCTGGAATTGTGGGATGTTAACTTGTAATAGCAAGGTATAAATTAGCAGTTGTGAAATATAATGTCTCGAAATTGCGAGACAACCTTGGAATTGTGGAAAATAAACTCTATAAACGAATAGTGAGGTGGAATTAACTTGCAATTGAAAGGTGTAGACTTGGAGTTGTGGGATATTAACTTGGAATAGTGAGGTGCAAACTCGGAGTTGCAAGATTTAGCTTTGGAATTGAAAGAAGTTAACTTGGAATTTTGGGATGTTAACTGGAATAGCGAGGTGTAAACTCAAAATTATAAGAGGTGTAAATTCGGAATGGGGAGGTGTAAACTAAGAATAGCAAGGTGTAAATTAGGAAGAGCGAGGTGTGAATTCGGAATGGAGGGGTGTAAATTCGGAATGGCGAGGTGTAAGCTTGGAATAGCGAGGTGTAAATTCTGAATAGTGAGGTGTAAACTAAGAATAGCAAGGAGTAAATTCGGAATGGAGGGGTGTAAATTCGGAATGGGGAGGTGTAAATTCGGAAGAGCGAGGTGTAAATTAGGAATAGAGATGTAAATTCGGAATGGAGGGGTGTAAATTAGGAATAGCGAGGTTTAAACTCAGAATCGCAAAATATAGTTTTGGAATTGCAAGATGTTTACTTGTCAGGATGCCAACTCAAAGTTGTGAGATGTTAACTCAGAATTACTAGATGTTAACTTGGAATTGTGCTAGCTAAACAGAATGTCTCAACATTTACTAGTTGTGAAATATAAACCCTAAATCACAGGATTTTAACTGAATGCAGCTGTGAAACCTGAGAGTTTACAGTGTGTGCGTGGCCCAGTTGAATCACATGAATCTGGCTGGATCTCAGTATTGCTCAGCACTGAAGATACTGATGATGCACAGCTGTGGCCGTCAGGTGTTTTGGTGCTGTTTAATGTAGTTCACATCAGGTCACACCAGTCGCCTTTACTCAACACACAGCAGTGTCTGCAGCTCCTTCACTGTGGAAGTCGCCTATATATATATATGACAATTGTGTGACATATTTTATTTTTTCATAAAAATAGCAATCTATAACTTCCCTACTCCCTCAATCCTGTAATAAAGGTATGGCTGCTTATCTAGAGTTTGTGTTCATGTGTCTGAGCCACAAATGAACAAACTGAAAAGACTGTAGTCTGCAATGCTAGTGTTACAAAAAAATCTAATAATAAATTAAATTATGGGTGGCTCAGAGGTTAGCACTGTGGCCTTACAGCAAGAAGGTCACTGCTTTGAGTACCGGCTGGGCCAGTTGGCATTTCTGTGTGGAGTTTGAATGTTCTCCCTGTGTTAGCGTGGGTTTCCCCTGGGTGCTCCGGGTTTCCCACACAGTCCAAACACATGCGCTATAGGGGAATTGAATTGGTCGCCACAGCGGAATGAACCGCCAACTTATCCACCATATGTTTTTCACAGCATATGCCCTTCCAGCTGCAACCCTGTACTGGGAAACAATGTTTGAACTCTGATTCTCTATTTAAAGTGCTTTTAATCCTTTGATAATATAGTCACACACTACTAAAACATTACAATAGGAGTAGAGATGACTTTATTTAAAATTATAATGGCAAAAGCACATGGATTTCATAAATATTTATCAAACGGTACAGCACAAATAGCCATTATCATGAACTGAATGATGCCGTCAACATACTTCATCAGGTTGCTGTACTCGTCAGCTGAACTCTCTGGTAGCCTGGAGAAAAGCGCCGTCTTTGGAAAATGCTGCACAGTTCCTGTCTGTGGATCATTCTGAAAGAAAGAACAGATTTGAGGAATGCGTTGATTGATTGAATGTTGTGAAATAACGCTACATTGCATCAAACACAAGATTGCCGGAACGAGCGCGTGCACGTCTAGAACGTGCTGACGTGAGACGTCTACTTTAACCAATCAGAACAGTCAGACGCATTCACGTCTGCGCGGTTTATGAGAATAAAAGCCTTTGAATATTTTTCTAGACACATGTAGCTGCTGGATGTTAGTCAGATAACGTTTATATGTTCATCTTAATGCCAACCGTGTAAATAATTATCGATAAGATGATTATGATAAGCCGTTGTTTGTTTACCTTTAAGCTATGCTTCCAGTTGCTTGACGCGTCACGTGTGCCCGTGAAGCAGCTGGTGAGCGCCAGCAGCACATACATATATCAAGTACATCTCGACATGCGTAAGTGTTCCTCCATATGTTGTTCACAATACTGATCATCCACAGAGTTTGTAATGTAGTCAAATATTTACAAATACAAGCCCAGCGGTTTAGAGCTCATTTCTGGTTAATGATGTCAGAATTACCGGTATTTTGGAATGGATGTGTGAATGCTCTTTTCCAGAAAACTCTGTAACGTCCTCGCCTGTGTGAACAGCGTCTTTTTGAATATACCGGTAAAGTCGTTGCATAAATTTTCCGGATTTTTACCGGTATCACTGTGTGAAAGGGGCTATTAATGATGAGAGGCATTCTTTATCATCCTTCAAATTGTTACCATCAGGTCATCGATATTGTGTTCCCAGGTGTGTAAGAAAGGTCAAAATTATAATTTATACCTCAAGCAAAATGTTTAAATTCTTCCTCTCTTACATTTACATTTAGTCATTTAGCAGACGCTTTTATCCAAAGCGACTTACAAATGAGAACAAGGAAGCAATTTACACAACTATAAGAGCAACATTGAATAAGTGCTGTAGGCAAGTTTCAGGTGTGTAAAGTATAAGAAGCAAAGTATTAGTACATTATTATTTTTTTTTTTGAGTACAGTTAGTGTGATATTCAGAGAGGCAATTGCAGATTAGGAAGTGAAGTGGAGACTAAATAGTTGAGTTTTTAGTCGTTTCTTGAAAATAACGAGTGACTCTGCCGTTCTGATGCAGTTAGGGAGTTCATTCCACTAACTGGGCAGATTGAACGCGAGCGTTTAGGAAAATGATTTCTTCCCTCTTTGGGATGGAACCACGAGGCGACGTTCATTCACAGAACGCAAGTTTCTGGAGGGCGCATAGATCTGCAGAAGCGAGAGCAGATAAGAAGGAGCAAAGCCAGAAGTCACTTTGTAGGCAAACATCAGAGCTTTGAATTTGATGCGAGCAGAAACTGGCAGCCAGTGCAAACGGATGAGCAGCGGAGTGACATGTGCTCGTTTAGGTTCATTGAAGACCACTCGTGCTGCTGCGTTCTGAAGCAACTGAAGAGGTTTAATAGAGTTAGCTGGAAGCCCGGCTAATAGAGAGTTGCAATAGTCCAGTCTGGAGAGAACAAGAGCTTGAACAAGGAGTTGAGCTGCATGTTCAGATAAGAAGGGTCGGATCTTTCTGATGTTGTAGAGTGGGAATCTGCATGATCGAGCAGTTCTAGAAATGTGGTCAGACAAGTTTAGTTGGTCATCAATCGTTACTCCAAGGCTTTTCACCATTTTGGATGCAGTAATGGTTGCCCCGTCCATCTGGATTGAGCAGTAGCAGTTGATGGCCAGTATACTGAAGATGTTTTCAGAGTAGGGACTCTATGGTACTTCAGATTTTTAAATGATTTATTTATATAAATTTATTTATATATTTATATAAACGGCAGATGTGAAATTGTCAGATGGCTCTGTGTGTGTGTGTGTACGCGCTACAAAAAAAATCTCTACAGGGGCAAAGATAGTTAACTGACTTGAACCTGATAATAATAATAAATAGTGAACTGAACATGTCCTCTTACCGTGTCTGAGAGAGCTCTCGGTCGATATCCTGCAGAGATTTTCCTTTGGTCTCTGGTAGAACAAGATAGATGAACACTACGCCTGCTATTCCTACAACTCCATACATCAAGAATACTCCAGACAGGCCAATGACATCTGAGAAGAGTCAGAAAGATGATGAAAATAAATATTTCACGAATGCATCTCATATGACGGTTATCTTTGATGTAGTTTGCCTGTAGTGCACACCGATTATACTCAGGAAAGAAAAGCTGACTATGAGGTTTGCGCCCACATTGAAGCAGTTGATGAAGGAAAAGGCTCTTCCTCGGATGTCCTTCGGGAATATTTCACTCAGCACAACCCACGTCACTGTCAAACACACACATAAACGTACACATGTTAAAACATGCTGTTGTGAAACATCAAATATTATTAGATGAAGTTTTTAACCTGGACAAAAAGGAAAGAACGTCCTAAAACCCACCCAAGTATAAACATACAGTTGAAGTCAAAACGATTCGCCCTCCTGTGAAATCTTTTTCGAATATTTCCTAAGTGATGTTGAACAGATTCAGGAAATTTTCACAGTATTTCCTATACATAAATGGTCATAGTAACTGGATCAGTGTAGTTCAGTTTTTAGTG